GTCTTTAATTGAGTGGACCACATACTCTTCAATTGGCCATGCCACGTGACCAGCAATTAGTCCCATCCAAGAATTCTTTTAATATATAGGCATAGATGTACTCATAAAGTCCAAGTTGATTTGACTTGACATTTAGCAAATGAAATTTGCATATTCATAACAAAAAAAGCTTGCTTGATACAACACTTATTAATTTGAGTATTTATGTGTAAATGCATTTCCTTTCCACTTTTTATCTCATGAAATTTATTTAAATTAATAAAAAATTATTTTTCTATTTATTTATTGATCAACATAATGATTATATAGAGTACTAAGATTGTTTGATACAAACACTTATTAATTTGAGTATTTAAGTGTACATACAATTTCTTTCACTATTTTTTTAGTGCAATGTAAATTAAATTTTGGATTTTCATGTTGTTGGGTTTTGTCTTATTTTCATTTTTTATTCAATTTTTGCTGTTTTTCTATTTTTGCCAGGTTATTTCTTCCTTACTGCTTTTGTGGATAATTATCATAGATTTACATCAGCTTCTCTGTTGTTTATTTTGTTAGTTTTATTTGTTGTTTGTGCAATTTTGTTTTAATAATTTTGTTGTATAATATGTTTTCTTGATTTTAATGTTTATGGTGTGGCAATAATGATTTTGATATTTTGATTTTATTGTTATTGTAAACTTTGACATTGCCATTACCTTGAAGCTATTTTAAATGTTTAAAGCATCGATTGATTTTGTGTTTCATGTTCAGGGATCATGTTCTTTGTTCAGTTTTCATTATTTTTCTTGATGGTAGCCATCGTAGAAAGTGCACCACTGAAAATTTTCTTTTGTTTAGTGCTATTATAGTTTTGATGTTTTTATTGCAGAAATTTTATGGACTATTATATACTTTTCTCTATTCTGCAGATTATGTTTGATATTTATTTTTATAGTTATTTGTGTCATCTTTATTTATATCTTTCATCACAATGGATTGGCTGAATTTGTTTACCACACTGGTTATTTTAATTACTAGCCTTTCATGTGAATAAACTGTTTGAATTAGTTAATGTATCATATTTTTAAATATTGAACTGAGTTTTGTTATTGTTTTATAGTTTTTTTCTATAAGTTTATGTGAGCTATTCTTTTTTGCAAGTGTATGCTTTGTTTTGGCGCAAATATTGGAAAGCTCCAGTTGTTATTTTTCATCTTTACTATCATTTTTTACAAGTTTGTCTTTTGCAATTTTGTCTATGACCTTTTCTTTGTAATGTTTTGGTTTTATTTATTTTGGTTCTTACTGAATCATTATATGTTACATGTATTGTGTTTAATGATGGTTATGAATTTCTTATATAATTTGTTGTGATTAATATTTCATCTTTGATCTTTGTTTTGTTTGATTATTGTTTGGAAATATTTATGAATGAACATTTCAATCCTTCTTTTTATGTTTAACTAGCTGAGAAGAATACTGTTATTGCAATTGACATAAATATTGACTGATCGATAGTTGAGAAAACAAATGAAATATATTTTGAATGGTTCCATAGAGTGATAAATTTTGATAAGTTTTGTTTTTTTTTTTTTTACTATTTTGATTCTTGTCATGTTCTGTTAATCTTCTTATTTATCTCTTTTGTTTTTGTCTTCTATAATGTTCAATTTGACTTTTTCGTTTTTCTCTTTAAAATAAAATGATGATAAATTATGACAAGTTTTATTTATAAAATTTTAACAGTTGATTATTACACTCTCAAAGGGACATGCAAGCACTGAACCAAACTATATTGTAAAGTGTAAGATATTATGTATTAACTAATGAATCAAATGTTCGAGTGCTGGTTTAGAGTTTTGTTGATACTATTAGATCTTCATAGGTAAATTGTGAATACTTAAATATTGTATTTGAATAACGGTTGCATTTATCAATGTTATCTTAACATACATGGAACCGTAGCATTTTTGTTAGTGAGCATTAGTAGTGATTTTTATTGAAATGCTGTTTTTTATTTGTAGGTTGTTGTGCACCTTTTGAGTTTTTGTTATATAATGGATGAGATTATTAGAACAAAACAAAATAGGTTTTAAAGAATGTAAATATTAAATGTTAAGAGATCCGGTAGATGAAACAATAGTAAAATTTCTAAATTTTGAAGTAACAATCATCCACAACAAGCAAGTCAAAACAACAATTCAACATGTCATGGAGTGCTAAGCACATATCTTTAATAAAATAACTGTATATTTAGGTGATATTTAGTACTTTACAATGCAATATAATTGCAACTAATATGATTGTAAGGGAAAATAACATTACAATGTTTGATATACAAATAAAATAATGATTAAAATGTAGGGAAGATAATATTGCAGCATTTAGTTTACAACTATTTTGTTAGGAATGTAATGTTACTTTTCAAAATTATCCTTATTTATTAAAATGTAAGTTTAATATACTTGAATTTTTTGTTATTAATTTTTATATAATATCATCTCTTAAATATATTTTTAATGTCATATATTTTATTTTTATTTTTTATTATCATATTGTATATTTTATTTTCATTTCTTTAATATGATTTTTTATATTATATATTTTATTTTAATTTCTTTTACCTATATTATATAAATTTTAATTTCTTATATTTTATTTTATTTTAATTTCTAATTCTTATATTATATATTTTATTTTAATATATTTTATTTTATATAATATTGCAAAATATTTTTAACAAAGTGATAAAGTCGAAGAGTAAAAATGTTTTTAATAATATTACAGAGTGCAATGTAATGTAATTGTATTAGTTTTGAACTGCAAGCATATTACATTTTTTTGCTATAATGTAATTGCATTGCAATTTTAGATTACAATGATCTGTTGCAACACTGTAATGTAATTTAATTAGATACATTACAAAGAATGTGCTTTCACTTTCTTCATACCAAACATTATCTTAATTTAATTGATATACTAGTTGGAGGGTATGTCACTGTTCATTCCACTGTTAGTGTTGAAGGTGAACTATAAACAATGTTAGTCAAAATGAGTAGAACCTCTGTTGTTTTCTCTTTAACTCATTCAAATGAAAAAAAAATAAAATGACATAAAACAACACTTTTATAAAAAAATAAAAATAAAAATGTGCATAAGAATATATACTTAATAAAATAGAATAAACATATCATTAACTAATATATTCAAAATATGTAGTTATTATATAATTGATAAAATAATATATGAATTTTTAAATAAAGAGTGTATCAATGAACTATTAATTTCATGACAATAAAAAAATAAAAATATAAGGTTCATGTTAATAAATTATAATGTAAATGTTAAAATTAAGCTTAATTTTTTTATTTTTATAGAAAAATAGTTATTTTATTTTTATAAGGTCTTATTTTTACAATTTTAAAAAAGAAAGAAATGAAAATGAAAAATATTTAACATAAAAAATAATACTTAATTAAACAAAAAAAAAGATTAAATAATTCATTTAAAATATTTGATTATTTTATATATAGTATATTTATCTTATGAAAAGTAATATGATGGATGAAAATTATTTACATGCTTAATTTTACTTTTTTTTATTAAATATAATTTTAGAAGTTAGGGATTAGAAACTAATTCTTTGATAAGGATATATATTTATAATTAAAAATTATTCAAATATTAATGATAAAAAAATGATTATGCTTCAATTAAACCTATTAGCCGACCATTAAAAGGCGATGTGGTTTTAGCGCAAGCACTAACGCAGCAAATATAAGAGGCCGGTGCCGAGTCCACTAAGCCCCAAAATTATGCGCTGCATGAATATTCATGCCCGCCCACTTGATGCTGATTTTTTCTTTTTTCTTTATTTTTTTTTTACCTAATTTTTTGTCACCCCTATGAATTAATGAGGGTAAAAAATTATCACACACTCCCCACAACTTTATTTATTACTCTTAATACTCAAAACAAATCGTGAATTATTTAACAAAATTTAAATAAATTTTTATTTTTAATTATATTCAATTAAATCTTTATATTTTGAATTTGAATCAAATAAGTTTTTATAATTAATAGTTAATTAATTATTATTAATCAAAATATCTCTTCTCAATTTATATTATAAGACACTAATGTGGTGTTGATGAAAAAGGTAAAAAATGCGATATGATCATATCAGAATATCATATCATTATCTATTATAATATATTAATATATCATATAAGTATCATATCAGCGTTACATGGTATAAAATGACTGATGGTATTTTAATTAAGTTAATTATTAGTCATAAGAGTTCATTTGATTTAAAATAAAAATATAAAAACTTGTTTAACTCAAAATAAAAATATAAAGACTTGATTGAATATAATAAAAATATATAAAAAATTTTAAATAAAAAATTTTTTTTAATATTTTTTTTAAAAAAATATATTCAGCTGGATACATAAATCAAACCGTTAGTTAATTATTAATGTTTTGATTAACTTGATGACACGATAATATTAAAAAGATAATTTTATTTTTTATTAATTTTAAAATTTATTATTATGTAATTTTTTATTATTTTTTTAAAAAAATCAAAGAACACCATATTTTTGGGGAGTATCGGTGGGAAGTTGAATTTTTTTAAAAAAAATAATAATAATTCTTTAAATTAGTAAAAGAAATTTACATTTTTTATATTTTTTAGCATTATTTATATTTTTTATTATATTATTTATTTTAAAAATTAATAAAATTATGATTAAAAAATAAAAAATAAAAGTATATTATAAAATAAAAAAGGTACGAGGATATTGGCGCTTTCACCTTTTGTTTTGCTGGAATTTTGAGAAAACGCGAGGCCATAAAAGAGCAGGGGAAAGAAATTCAAAAAACTTGAGAGGGTGAACCAACGTGTGGGAGTTCTAAATACTCCACGTAGGACGCTCAGGGCAGAGAGATAAAAAGACAAAAACAAAAATCGTTACAGTTAAAAACAATAAAAAGGTTTTTCTTTTGGTTAATTTAATTTATATATATATTTATAATTTTAATGAGGAGCGTACATGCCGCTTAATTCTCGGCAATGTCAGCTCTCGCATGCCCGAGATTGTTACCTGCTGCAGGCGTAAGCCACGGTCCGTTCTCCACCATTTCCAATTTCTCTCATCTTTACCCATTTGTTATTTCTCCGCTCCGCTTTTTCCCCCTGGCTCGATCCAGTTCCAAAACTATTCATTTTCATCATCATCCATATAATTATCAGCTCACGAGCTAGATTTTCCTCAGCAGATTAATTATAAGGTATTCTTTTTAACTTCATTTAATTTCGCTTATATTTTATAATTTTGATCGATATTCAAGGTTTGCTAATTATGTATTTATTTTTTTTTATTTTAATTTTTATTTTCATACCTGATTTTTTAGGATTTGGTGTATATAATTTTCAGAGACGATCATGAAGTATAATTCTTGAGTATGTTTTTTTTTCTTTTGGAGTTAGATGATTGATTTGCGTATATTCTTCCTTTGGATCTGCGGTTATCTGATTGGTTGTGGAATTTGTAGAAGAGAGAGGCATTTGTTTGATTAGAACTCTAGCTCAAATTTGGCCTTGGATTGAGGATGCTGATATCTTGTGCATAATTTGTGTACCTAATTGCTGTAGAAAAATGGATTTTGTAAATTAGAGGTGTTCTTTTTGTTTGTAAATATGTGTTGAATGTGATTGAGTCCTCACAATTCGGGTGCAAAGAGAAGATAGGATGGTATTGATGTGCAAAAGTGTGTTAGTTTTGATTTGAAGTTTAAGCTATTAGGCCTAGGGGATGGCAGTTTTAGGTGTGGAGAATGTTAGATTTCGAGTGTGAGGTTGTGAAAGGTAGCTGATACGAGAATAGCTTGATTATGCATTATTGGTTCGTGGCTTGAAGAGGAGAAGAGTGGCTTGAGGAGCTAAGACATTGTCTATATGCAAGCAAATAGACCCAGGGGCTTGTTGGGGAACATGATCAGGGAGGTGCCTAGCCCGTCTGGTCATTTGGTTCAGCAAGAATCTACATCTGTTGTTCCTAATGCGGGAAAGAATGTAAATAATAATAATAATATCTCTGTACAGACAGGTGAGGAATTCTCCATGGAGTTTCTTCAGGAGTGTGTTAGTACAAGAGCAATTCCTGCTATATCAGATGCAGTTCAGATGCATGAGAAGAGGGCTGGGTTCAATCAGAACCAGAATCACCATCCGGGGTATCAAGATCTTGCCCGGATTCTTGGGTTGAAAAGAATGGACTCTGAGTGTGCTTCTGATATTTCTGATTTTGCATCTGCGAAAGGGTCTTTTAAAGGGAGTGAAAATGGGTCTTGCATTGAAAAATCAAGTAGATACCAGAAGCAAGATGGTGATATTGGGCAAGTGTCAAGGAAGGCATTTGGTGAATTGAATTGCGATAGGAGCCATCCAAATGGTTTTGGACCAACTACTCCACCCATTTATGCATGTGACTCTCCTAGTTCCAGCAACTTTAGTGGGCAGGGAGTTTCTGATGGATCTCAATCTGGGAAAATGAAATTTCTTTGCAGCTTTGGTGGAAAAATATTGCCTAGGCCTAGTGATGGCAAACTCAGATATGTTGGGGGAGAGACACGCATTATTTCCATTCAGAAGAGTCTTTCTTGGGAAGAGCTTGTGAGTAAAACTTCTGAAGTTTGCAACCAACCTCATTCAATCAAGTACCAACTTCCAGGTGAGGATCTTGATGCCCTTATATCTGTGTCTTCTGATGAAGACCTTCAGAATATGGTGGAAGAATACCATGGGCTAGGAAAGCTTGAAGGTTCTCAAAGGCTGAGGATATTTTTGATTCCTTTTGGTGAGTCTGAAAGTACATCTTCTGTTGAGTCTAGCACCATGCAGCAGAGCAATCCTGATTACCAGTATGTGGTTGCTGTCAATAGTATAGTAGATCCTAGTCCTAAAAGAACCTCTGGTGGGCAGTGTTTACCCAGTGAAGGAAGTCAACTAGGACCCGATTTGGATCATAAACATAGTTTCCACAAACCATGCCCAATGTCGGTAATCTCACTGGAGACTAAGGGTGGTTTTAATGCCTTGCATCCATCTCAGGTTTTCCATGATTCCCCAAATACTAACAGGTCCCCACTTCCATCTCCTCCTATTTCTCCACTACCTTTCCAACATGGAGATTCCAAAAGTGTTCATGCACTGCCGATTGGTGATGACTCCAGCATTGAAAGCAACAGTTCCTTCATTACAGCACACTTGAATCCTGAGTACTGCAGCACAGAAACTACTAACTATAAACATGCCCAACAGGTTCCACCTGCTTTGATGAATTATAATCACCCTCATGTAAAGGTTGATGCTGGCCAGACATACCAAGCTTATGGAGGGCAATTGCTAAACCCTGACCCCGGCAAAGATTCTTTGACTCTTTCCGTTTTAAACAAAAATAATAGTGATTATAATGGTGTCTCGCATGAGAGGTCTATGCGTAAGGAAATATCATTCCTTTCAGAAAAGCCTATCTCACATGCTGAAGCTCGGCTGAGTCTGTTGTCAGAATCTGTTGATTCCATTGATTCTCACCTAGGCATGTCACATGCATTTTCTGATTCAAAGCTACAGGAGCATGGAGGGAGGTCTGCTTACTGTTCACAAGAAGGAATGAGCCCATCTTCTCCTTTAAATTTTGCAAGGACTCAACCACCTTCCCTTATTGTTTCAAATGCTGTGCAGGAAAGGTTGATGCAACGGCATGATAACATTGATCTTATAAAGCCCAGGGAAGAAAATGATTTGCCAGCTATTGAATCTACATCAAAGTCAACACTGGATATGTTGAACTGTTCTCCACATTCTGAACCTTCTGTCTGGAATGAAACCATTCATAAGGGTACTGGTGACAGGAATGACAAGTGCCAAACAGCTAAAATTGATTTGAGTAAATCAAGTTTTGTGACACCAAACAATTATGATGAATATACTACAAGCTTGGATTCCAGGAACAGGTCTGATAAATGTGATGCATTTCTTCATCAAGGTGGAAAGCAATATGAGCGGAGATCGCCTGGTAGCAGTATGGAATACAACAATAAATCATCTAATGCAGACTGTAGCCAAACTTCTGTTTGTGGTATTGATTCTTGGGGAAAAGATTCACAAGTCTCTCTGAAGATGGTTACTTCATCCTTCGTTATAAAGAATAACATGGAGCATCTGCAGACCGTGGACAAAACCACCTCTGATATGGTTGAACATTGTGGATTTAATGGGAAAGTAATTGATGGACGAGGGAACATTACTTCATGTACCCAGAACCCTGAAGTAACTGGCTTACTTCCAAAGACTGGACAAGACTCAAGAATTGAGACCCCACGGGGTGGTATTATCCGTGAGTCATTGCATGGCCCAATGTCTCATGAACGACCACCATTGCAGCGTGTTGCATGTCGAAAGGATATATCTAAAGAAGATCAACTGAAGAGCTCAATCAATTTGCAAACATCTGCAGTTCATGTAGACCCTGGTCTGAGCTCAAACTTGCACAAGGATGACCTTCATGCTGTGTCAGAGAATCCAGCCAAATATGCAGCTTTTAAGACAGAGGTTTCTCTCATTGATGATGACCTTAATTATCTCAATCAGAATGCTGAGAGGATTGTGCTTATAGGATCTATGTATGAGAACTCAATTGTAGAAGATGTTATGGTTGCTCAGACAGAACCCTCAAGCAAGAACAAATGTCAAATCCAACCTGAGCCTGTAGTTATCTTGGAAGATGTGATCACTAGTGTGCCTTCCGGGGCTCAAGTTTCATCTGCAGTTGTCCCACGTGTGGATGTAATCAGCAGTGATCTCATATCTCCTATTGCAACAGAGCTGGATGATGTCATTCCAGAATCTGAGTCTGAGGTAAGATTTTTAAATTTATGTCATGTACATCTAGTTTTATTACTTGTATAGATGTTAGTAAACTTAGGTTGCTTAATGGCTTTGTTCATAGGATGCTGCAGCTGATATTCGAGACAAGGATGAGTCCTTCAGTGATGCCATGATAGCTGAAATGGAAGCCAGCATCTATGGCTTGCAGGTTCTACACTAAATTGATTTATACCTGTTTCCAATAAAACTTTATGGTTTAATACATGACCAGTTGCTTTGTAAAATTAGCTTCTAAAGTTGAATGAAAGTTTTCTAATTTTGATGTACAGATTATAAAAAATGCTGATCTTGAAGAACTGAGGGAGCTAGGATCTGGTACATATGGAACTGTTTATCATGGAAAATGGCGGGGAACAGATGTTGCTATAAAGAGAATAAAAAAGAGTTGCTTTTCTGGAAGATCATCTGAGCAAGACCGGCTGGTGGGTCTCCAGAGATATTTTCCTCTTATTTCTCCCCTTCTCTTCCCAGTTCCTAATTTTACATGTAGGAAAGTTGATACTGAATCTCATTAAAAGCATCGTAATGATTTATGGTAGAGATTTGAGGATATATGCTTGCATTATAAACATTTGAATGAGATTCATCTGGAAGCTATTATTTTGTCTTTGTTCACATTTGGAACATGCATTATTGTTTGTACTAGTTATTCTGTTCTATAAATTTTGGGTGCAGAAAGTTCTAGAGAGGGAAATATGGAATAATTTTTGCTGGTTAGGTGGTTTGAAAAGTGCACTTGCATCCTAGCTTTCAGCCACCAAAAAAAAAGAAGAAGAAGAAAAATTCTTGAAAATATTATTATTGTAAGTTGTGAAGTTTTATTCATGGGGGTAACCTTGCTCTTCTTCCTATTAGTCTCTTTTTGGCCTTTTGTCTTCTTGACTTCTGTTAAACTGAAATATATCCACTACTGTTGTTCTGACCTTCTCTTCTGCAATTTGAGATTGATAATCTGTTTTTGTTATATTTGGGAAGTTTTTTGTTCTTGAGTTAAATTGTTTGCAGTTGCATTGATATGTATCACAAGTCACATGTTATTATCAAGAAAGATTAGCCTGTGGGTGTCATCATTGCTTCAAATTTTGAATAAGGGTCTTGGGGAGAAAGACGAAAAAGGCCTTTTTATCCTTTGGGGGTGGGGTTGGTCTTGGTGTTTGATTGACCAAGATTAAGTCAATTGACTTAAATGTGAAAGATAGAAACAGGAGAAAATTAACTGAGAGGCTTGAGTCCAGTGGGCATTTTGCACTGGGTTATTGTTTTCCTCCCTTGCTTTCCTTTTGCTATTGTAATAGCAAGATGAAAGGGGGAATTCCCATTCTGTGGTAGTATTGAGATCCTTTGAATAATTTTGCTGCCATATTCTTCATAGCAATTTTGAATTATTTGCATGCCTGAAGCTGATGAACATTTGGCTGTACAGACCAAAGACTTCTGGAGAGAAGCACAGATTCTCTCAAATCTTCATCATCCAAATGTGGTTGCATTTTATGGAGTAGTACCAGATGGAACTGGAGGAACCTTGGCAACTGTAACTGAATATATGGTAAATGGATCACTTAGGAATGTCCTACTCAAGAAGGATAGGTAATACAGGTTCAATCCCTCAATCTTATAGTCCTTCACTCATTAATGATGCACTTATGGTGTTTTGAAATTCTTATGCAGATCACTTGATCGTCGCAAAAAGCTTATAATTGCCATGGATGCAGCTTTTGGCATGGAATACTTGCACTCCAAAAACATTGTCCATTTTGATCTGAAATGTGACAATTTGCTTGTCAATTTAAGGGACCCACAACGACCCATATGCAAGGTAATATGTTACAGACAAACTCCTCTCTGTCGAGATTTTTCTTCTTTGCTCAATCTCTCTAGTAGAGATTTGATTTCAAGATGTCGTAAGAATACAAATGGCGAGAGAGAAGAATTCTAAATTCTGGTTAAAATGAAATTTATTGTTTTTGGTCCAAGATGAATGCTGATCACATGCTTGGGTACAATTGAATAACCTCAAGCTTTTCAAAAAAGGAAAAAATTGAATAACCTCAGGAAGTTTTTCATTGGCTTTTTAATTGAAGCATGGCTACTGTGTACTTGTTTCTGTAGGTTGGAGATTTTGGATTATCAAGAATCAAGCGCAATACTCTTGTTTCTGGAGGTGTGCGAGGAACCCTCCCATGGATGGCACCAGAACTGTTAAATGGTAGCAGCAACCGAGTTTCTGAAAAGGTTAGTAGAGCCATATTCTAACATGTCTCACCACTGTGAAAGAAAGAAAATTGAAGCCAAATTTATACTATTTGATTTGACAGGTTGATGTGTTCTCATTTGGAATTTCAATGTGGGAAATCTTGACTGGGGAGGAGCCATATGCCGATATGCATTGTGGTGCCATTATTGGTAAGATTTCAATTTACCTAATGTGCAATTAGCTCTGGTAGTGAATATAAAATTCACACGCATGTGATTGGGAGGTTTTGACATGTTATCAATTCCAACTGTGGAGGAATACATTAGCTAAAAATGAAAATGGTCTATTGATATTTTCTTTGGCATATATGGATTGGATTGTACAAAATCAAATCTCCCTGGAGTATGAGGATTGCATGTGATTTTCACTTTTCTTTTATATTTCATATTTTCTATTTACAGTAAGACAATAGTTCAGAAAGTTCCAAAAAGCAAGCCAAAAATAGGCTAAAACAAATTATTATACTCACCTTTTAAAGTTGGCTTCACTGGGAAGTTTACTCATGAGCTAGCAATGCTGGTAGTGATGATCCTAGGAACTGAATCAAGTGGTTAGTTTTGTTGAAGATGAAGTGCAAACAGTTTTATGGAGAGGTGTAAAAGTAGCTAGTTTTTACAACTGGGCTCAAGTGCTCTTGTTCTGTAGGAATACAAAACAACAAAACTAAACAACTCACAAAAAACTTCATGTCATATCATGATCTGTATGGATTCATCTTCCTTGTTTTCTATTTTTTGGTTGAGTAGTAATGACCCTACCTTTTTTTTTTTTTTCTGCTTGTGACTGAAAAATAAATGAAAACCTTCTGCTTCTACCTAAATATGGCTTATGTTTGATTGGCGAATTTTGATTAAAGGGGGGATAGTGAAGAACAGTCTTCGACCTCCTATTCCAGAGCGTTGTGATCCCGATTGGAGGAAGCTGATGGAACAGTGCTGGTCTCCTGATCCTGAATCTAGACCATCATTTACCGAGATAACAAACAGATTGCGATCCATGTCTATGTTGCTTCAGCCCAAGGGACATAACAATCAGGCAAGACAAACAAGGCCTAATGTTACGGCTTGAGTCAATCATTATACGCGAGCACCTGTTTCGTTTGCAGGTACACCTCTGATCTTCAAGGATGAGCATGAATAGTGTTTGATCATTGATGGCCAAATTTTTTTCCCTCTTCTCACCTTTGTTAATAAATATATCTTGATTTGTTTATTCTTTTTGTAATAGAGTACCTGAGGTCATACTAGTAAGCCGCCAAGAGAACATTTATATAGAGTTGTCCAACTAGTTTACTATGGATGATTTTGTTGAAAATAGTATGTCTATATGTATATACACTCATTCAGAAAGAAAAAAAAAAGGGCATTAGGTTAGAGTTGCTTTGATCTATCTCCTTTCTTTAATGGTTTCTACATCTTCATTATTTTCTTGGCGGTGCTTTGTGAACACATATGGTCTGAAATATACAGCCAGAAAATTTCTATGCAACAGTACTTGTAAAAAGCCCAGCAAGTAAAGTTGTTCACTTGTTCTAGGATATTCCTTTTAGTTTAATTGTTTATTTGTTCCTTTTTTTCTTTAACTGTAAAAGTTATGCTTTTTTCTAAAACAAAAATCCCACAAGAAGGGGAGGATTGATATCAGAGAGGAGGTTTATGTTGATTTATATAAATTTTTGGGTAAAATATCCCTACTCTATTAAGTTTGGTCTATAATTCTATGCAAGTTTATTAGTATTAAAAATAAAAAATCTATTTCAAAAGAATATTTTTCATTGGATATATAAATCTTACTATTTGTGTTTTTGTTTTTTTGATGACGTGGTATTAATTTTTAGATAATTATTCCCTTTGTACAATTGAGTCACACTAAGTCACTATTAGGTAACAAAAAAAATAAGTATAATACTCAAATAAGTCCCGAAATTATTCAAGGATATTCAAATAAGTTTTTATGCTTTTATTGCGTATAATCAAACTTCGTATTTTTATTATGGATCAAATAAATTTTTATGATTAATTATTGATTAATTGTTACTAGTAAAAATATCACTTGTCATTTTATATTTACATGGTATTAACATGACATTAATGTAGAAAGTGAAAAATATCACATAATCATGTTATCATATCAAATTAATATGTTATGTTATCAACAATTATCGTATGTCAACATGTAACATTATAATTAATTATAATATTTTAACATATCACATTAACATTACATAACATAAAATAACAAATGACATTTTGATAAATCAATTAATAGTTATGAGGATTTATTAGACTCAAAATAAAAAATATAAAAGTTTGTTTAATTTTAAATAAAAATACAAAGATTTGATTTAACATAATAAAAGTATAAGAGTTTATTTAAATTTTTTTAAATAATTTAGTAACTTTTTTGTATATTAGCAATCAACAAAGCACAACAAGAATGATTTAGCATTTTTTTTCTCCCCTACAGTCGACTCTTTCATCTTCTCTCTAAAAATGTAAAAACCTCAATTTTGAAATTGGTTGAGGTTCTGAAATTTTGTAATTTTTTTTTCCTGAAGTCTTTTTTGTGATTTTTTGTTTTTAAATTTTTCTGGCTTATTTTGAAACAAGGCAGAGAGGGAAAAAAAAGAGTCTAGAAACAAACTCAAACTGCAAGTACCCTCTTCCCTGCCACTGTCCGTTTCCATTTTTCTTTCTATTGGACGATTTCACCAAATCAAGCTACTTCCCTTGCAAGGAACATCTCAATCATGTGGGTGAACTTGAAAAAAATTTGGTATGTTTATGAACAAAGTAGAGGAAAGAATCTTCTCAAATGCCAACAACTCAACTTGGTTGAAGTCAACAAAAATCACACTCACACTCACAAAGACTAAGGAGGCTTAATGGGTCTATGGTTTAGACCCATTCTTTCCTTTTTAAAAAGCAAATTCTTCCACTTTTAAAAAACAAATGCAATCAAGAAAGAAAAAAACCCACAGTGGAAGGAATTAAAGTATCTTCCCAAAAACCCAACCCAATTTTGGTTGAAGTCAACAAAAATAGGTTGACCAAGGACTAAAGAGGTTTAATGGGTTGAAAGCTTGAAATGGTTTAGTCTTATTTTTTTAAAAAAAAATAAATAAATGCAAACAAAGAAAAAAAATACCCACTGGGATAAGTAATTAAAAAGAAATTAAAAAACTAAAGAAGTTAAAGAAGATAGGAAAAAATTTTTAAAAAATGTAAACAAGAAAAAAAATGTCCACCGTGGGAAGGAATTAAAAACAAATCAAAAAGCTAAAGAGGTTAAAGAAGAGAAGATACAAAAAAGGAAAAAAAAAATCTAAAGGCTAAAGAGATTAAAGAAGAGAAGGAAAACATAAAAAGGAAAAAAATAATATAAAAGGTTAAAGAGATTGAAGAAGAGAAGAAAGATAAAAAAAAAGTTGTGGGGGTGCCTGCTATTTATTTAAAGGACATTTGTTGATCTTGTTCGAGATTTTGAAGTCGATTATTTATTTTTAATATTAATAGATTTGTATATAATTATGAACAAAATTTAAAGGCGTAGAGTATTTTACTTTAAAATTTTCAATTGATTTGTAAAACATTTTACATTTGTATTAATTTTATATTTAAAAATCATTTTTATAATTTTGTTTACTTTTTGATATTAAAAAGTCCTAAAACTATCTTATAAAAAAATTTAAAATTTAAATATTAATATACATTAAAGTCAAATTTGTTTTAAAATTTAATGAAAATTAAATAAGAAAAAGGAAAATAATTCGAAACAGAAAGGGTGATGAATTTGAATGATAATTCTATGCAAAAGAGCGAATTACAAATAAGGTTGTTGGGTATTTCATGTTCACACCCTCAAGTCTATAAACGTCATATTCCTACTTTAAAGCTAAAAACATACATTCCATCACAATCGTAAGATGCAATAGAAGGGTTGACGGTCGTTCGTCCTACTCCTGGTAATAGGAATATTCCCTGAAAAATATATGTTTTTCACATTTCGCACTACCTCATTTTAGGTACAAAAGTTACCTTTTGCTTGCATGAAACTATTAATATTAGAAATGAATACTTCCTGTCAAAAATATAAATATAAAATATAAAATATAAAAAAATTAAAATATTTTTTTATTAATTTTAAATTTTTTTTATATCAATTAAAAAAATTCAAAAAGCACTCATTTGAATTTTTTTTATAAAAATAATATAATAATAATTTTTAAAATTAATAAAAAATAATATTATCTTTTTAATATTATCACGTCATCAAATTAATAAAAATATTAATAATTGAATTTATGTATCCAACGCAAGATATATTTATGAGATAGAGTATCTTTTTCAAAAACTAATATATTCCTTTTGAAATTTTAATTAAATTTAAGAATAAGCTTAAAATAAATTAAAGTAAAATTTTATTTTTTATTATAAATTTAATCAATTTTTAATTAAATATTATTTATTATTTTATATTATGTGATACTAACATATAATAATAAATAATAACATAATATATAAATATTATCACATGACATTTTTTTTTGTAACATCATATTAAGATTAATGATAATTAATTATAAAAATTTATTTAATTTAAAATTAAAATATAAAAAATTAATTAAATATAATAAAAATATATGTTTTTGTTTTTGGAAGAAGTGAGATTATAATAAGATTTTGAATTGAAATATTTCTTTTGTTTTTTATAACACTGAGACTTGACAGTTGTGAGATCTCTGGAATCCGAATTTGCGTGTAACAAGGCAACGAAACAGTGTTCCGATTTCCGTATTCTCGGTGGTTGAAACCTTAAAAACAAACATAAAAGGCCAAAAAAAAAAAAGTAGAGACAAAAAAATGTGCCACCAGACCAACCACCAAGAATATATAATATATATATATATATAAACAAATAAATAAATAAATAAATCCAGGTCCAGGTGCAACACGTGAGAGTAATTTTCGTGGAAGAACCCTAAGTGAGAGTAATGGTTGACCATTCTCACACACTTATAATTTTATCCATTGTTCCATCTTCGACCGCACTATATATGATACATTTAAGCCTACAGACAGTAAAATTGACTCAAACTTGAAAAAACTGTTTAACTCGTTTGAATCAATTAGTTCAAATTATTGATTTTTTTTTCTAATCAAATCGAATTGAATTCAAACGAGTTGAATTCAGATAACAAGCGATCGGTTGCTTCCTAGTTTTGACCAAACTCGCCAGCAGAAAAAAAGGCATCTGTGTTAGTTAAGTTATTATCATAAAGCATTAACCTTTGAAGAGAGAGGAAACAAGTGAAAGACAGAAACGACATGGACATGGAGAAAGCACTCAACAGACAGAGAATTTTGCTTCATCATTTACGACCCTCTTCTTCTTCTTCTTCTTCTCATCAATCATTTGACTCTGCTGCTGCTGCTGCTCTCTTTGTAAGCATGACCCACTTTGTTACATTTTTTCTTCTTAAGATTACTTTCTTTTTTTTTTTTTGAGAAAGTGTGTTGTTTTTCATTTGATCAGCCTTCACATTGTGCTGCTGGGGATGGCTCTGCTTATCACCGGACCGCTGCTTTTGCCGATGATGTTGTGATTGTGGCGTAAGTCTTTTCCTTTTTTTAAAAAAAAAAAAAATTCTTTGGTATAAATATTTTTTACTTGACAAGTATATTTTGTGCTGAAAGAAAGATAGCAAGGATCACGAACTGGAATTTAGATCCCTGTCGAAGCTCCAATGGATATTTGCTATTTGAGCTAAATTTAAGTGACAAAATTCATAGCATGATTAGTGTTTTGGGGTTATAACGTAACCACCCATCCAATTCGAGCAGTAGAAGGTTTTGCAAGTACTGTATGTACTAGTAAAATAAATATATTTTGTTATGCCTGAAAAGCTTTGATGTTGTAATCAAAAAGGGGGGCAACGCGTTGTTTCACAGGGCATGCCGCACTGCGATTTGCAAGGCAAAGCGTGGAGGCTTCAAGGATACACCCGCAGATGATTTACTTGCCCCTGTATTGAAGGTTAGATGCTTTTGGTCTTTTTCATATATTAAGTTGTCTTTGAAATCATATTTGTTTTGCCTCCTACCTTGAGTTAATTCCCAATTCAGGCTTTGATAGACAGAACAAAGTTGAACCCAAGTGAAGTGGGGGATATAGTTGTTGGAACAGTTTTGGCACCTGGCTCACAAAGAGGAATGGAGTGTAGGATGGCTGCATTCTATGCTGGTTTCCCTGGTATACTTATTCTTTTGAATTTCTTATTCTTGGACCCTTTAATGGTTTCTTGTCTTTATGGAAATTTGAACTGTTTGTTGTTTTGTAAATTATTTACTTGTTAATTGCTTTTGGTATACTAAATTGGAGTCACACCA